ATTCTGTGTTATACATCATCATCATCATCATCAGAACCCTTTATATACTACTAGTTTTTTAGGGTTTTGTAATACACTTGTGACATTATTGTGGTACCTTGCTGCATTAATTCCTACATCAGGACTCCTTTCCTCCCCAGAAAACAGTTGCCATCAGATTTCTGGCAGGCAGACAGCATTTCTTTAAACTTGTTCGGCTTGTTTGGTGAATGTGTGTGCATCCACTGCTTTGACTGCTATTTAAGTTTCAACATAGAAAACAGTTTGCAAAATTTGTGGAAATTCACACACAACTTCTGAAACTATGAAGCGCCATCTTTCACAATTTTTTTGGTGAACACTTTGAAAAAGATCATCACTCACTACTGAAGGCCAGCCAACCACTTCACTCTTAATCTTCATCTTTGTTCCCCCACCTTTGAATATTCTTCACCATCTTACAGTTCTTTCACTCATTACATTTTGGCCATAAACTGCGCATAATTCACGATTGATTTCCGCAGCACTCACATTTTTAGCACAAAGCAGATAACATCATGAATTTACAGCTGGCAGGATTATCAGAGGACACATCAGAACTCAGTCTGTAGAGACACAAACACTATATGACCAGTTATGAGATGGTTTAAAAAGCAAAGGGTCATATGGCACTACTCAAAAGCGCAAGCTCCCTCCTGCTCCTACATAAATTGCCTAAAATAAACAGTGGTTACTTTCTGAATAGCCCTTGTAGTTAGAAAAATATCCTATTATCCTTTTGAATCCCAAATTCAATAAAAATATTCTAAAAATTAGGTTTGTATTCGTAGAAAACACACTACATTTCCATTATACAGAATGACTAGTGCTACTTAAGCGCATAACTTGTGACAGAAACATATAAAACACATAATACACTGCCAGTACTTTCATTGTTACATCAGATGGCACATATAACTGGCTTTAAAGGATTAATCCACAACAGATGTAAACAATTATTAATTCTCTAAGAGACATACCACACAAAAATCATAAGATGCTATATTTTATTAAAGAATATTGATAGTGTAGTGTAGGTTGTCCAGTAAATCACAGACATGATGCTGTAATCATTGAATTACCAACAACACAAACAGAATACTTACGTCTTACAAAGAATGCTTACTTTCTGATCGCAGTCCCATGCAATTTTTGCATCATAACAGTTCTTCAGTCACTCCCCTATTATGTATTGAACAGTCTAGCTTGAACTGTACAGAATACTTTGTTTTGCTTGCCATATGTTCTCACACTTTACTAAACAATATTGTAAGTTTACACTGACATGCGGAAAATGTCTTAGCATGAGTCTTAACATCACAGTGACATGACAGTGGTTCTCAAAATTATCCATTATATGGACCCATAATACAGAAGTGGGTTTCCCAAAGAGCAGCAACCCACATCTCATACTGCATGATACAAATAAATACAACATATCTAATTATGTCTAGTATATCTGAACATGTTTATGTACAATATGCTACATACGTTTTACTTCTATTCTGGATGATGTCCATAATCTGTAACGTTTTTCAAACCCAAGTTTTTGAAAACTGGTTTGGTTTCTATCACCAGGTGTATGAGATGACAGGTTCCTATTCAGTTGGTCCCACCAGAAAGCACTAACCTCAATCACAGACCAATGAATGTAACTAGCTCTATCTATTGGTCCTAGATGAGCAGCACCCTCTCCTCCCTCAAATCTGATGATGGAAACTGATCCAGTTTCCAAAACGCTATGTCTGAAAACACTCAAGACAACAGACATGTCCGCAATAACATTCCTGTTATCAGGACCTAAAAGAAGGTGAGAAATTTCGCATTGGTATTATCATGTGTATGGGGAATATGCGTGATGAAATTAATGGGTTCTAGTTTAGATGACTGAATTTACAAGCACTTCAATTATAAGTTCTCTTAATCACACTTAATACAGGAAGTGCAATGCTTTTGCTGATTCACACAATCTCCAGTTCACTGTTGCACATGCACTAGGATTCTCAGTTTCCGCTAGTTGTCTCCTAGCAACGGATCACAACACAGAAACTACTGCTTCAAATTACTATGAAGTCTTCTTGCTATTTCATTTCCACTCACTCTACACTCCTCTGTCCTAATCTGTACTCAATCTTCATGCTCCATTCTTGTCTTTGTACTGGACTCACAAGCAGACTCATGTTATATAGCCCCAGCACAGACAACGCAGAAAACACAGTTCTATTGTTGTGTAAAACAGACCACACAGAAACAATTCACGTGATAGCTGTTGGCACGCTGTTGCCTAGCAATAAGCTATAAACAATCATCCTATTGTTGTGTGCGCGTATTGCAGGGTGTTTACTGAGCTGTTGCCTGGCAATGTGTTGACATGTCACATTGCTTCCTCCTTAAGGCTGTTTGTCCAAATAGTCTAACAGTGTATTACCTTTCCTTCTTTTCCAGGGGCTGTGCTTTCAATGTCTCTCTCCTCCCTCTCTCTCTCCCTCCCTTCCTTTCATGGTCCACAATTTCCTTGGGTTCGAATTTTCTTGAAGAAGTTTCTCTTGCACCATGCCACTGCTGCACGAGGGGACACCTTCCTGCAGGCGGCACCCAACTTCCTCCGGGGTCCACAATCTCCTCGGGTCAGTTCTTTCGGCTCTCCCTGTCCGCTTTATCTGTCCTTTGACCAGTTTCACTATCGCATTTTCCTTAGGGACCTCCCAATGTCCCGACTCAGATTCCATTTCCTCTGAATTCGTCTTCAAATCCATGGCTTCCATCTTTTCCAAGATGGCTATCGCACGATCAATTGACTCCATCTTCTCTGGATTGGACTTTGTCGCTTCTTGGCAGGCCATCATCTCATTCTGGCATGTCCTCAGGGAGTGAATTACAACCTCTTCATTAGGATTCTCCTGCTGCTATGCTGCGGCCTCTTTTTCTCCTGGATTTGGCTCCATGTTCTCTAGATTAACCTCAATGACTTCTTGGCTGGCCATCCTCTATTTTTGTCTGTCTTTCATTTCTACTATGATCTCCTTAGATTGGCATCCTTCTTCTCTTGGATTCTGTTCTTTTTTGGTTGGTTGTCATCATTGCTTGCATGTGCTCTCGGCCAGCATTTGCTGATGAATCCAATACAATCTGAACCAACTTCTAACACCAAAATGTCATGTCAAGGGTGGTATGCATGACAAAAATAATGGGTGCTAGTCTAGTCTAGTCCTAATCTGTACTCAACTTTCACGCTCCATTCTCTTTCTTTTACTGTCAACTGCTGAATCCTCTTGGACTCTCCTTAGCTGCAAGCGGACTTGTGTTATATAAGCACAGCATGAACAAGCCTGAAAACACAGTTCTATTGTTGCGTAGCACAGACCACACAGAAAACAAGTCACCTGATAGCTATCTCGCAAGTCCATTGGCACACTGACTGTTGCCTAGCAACAAACTATAAACATTCATTTTATCGTCGCATGCACATATCATTGAGTGCTTATTGAGCCGTTGCCTGACGTGTTGACATGCCACAGTAAAATCACAACTTTCTTGCCTACTAACACGCTTAAAAAAAAGTAATGCAAACTACTCAGTTCCTAAAAGAAAATTAAAAATGGTGTTAAAATGACTGTAAAATACTATTCCTCTATGTGTGAAACAATAAAACAGAATTTGTGAACAAGCACAATTAAACTGCATGTCACCCCAGTCCATGCATGAATGGCAGAAAAACTCATAAGACACTAAATTCATTGGTTGTATAAGCTGGAAGGTCATGGATTCGATTCCCAATGAGGTGATGGGATTTTTTGATTGACCTAATCCTTCCAAACGCACTATGGCCCTGAAGCCAACTCAGAAACGAGTACCAGGAATCTTCCTGGAGGTAAAGGGTGGTTGGTACATAAGGCTTACAATTTCACCACTGCAAGCCAATTGTCTGGAAATTATGAAAGCCTCGACGTCTCACAAACCTATGGGCTTCCACAGCCTATCACAGGGATAGCCTTACCTTTTGCAGACCGAATAACTACACTCTAGAATCTCGCGTTTTAAATGAAACTGAAAATAATAACATTTTAAAATGTTTTATTATGCAACAATGAATTGCATATTTAAAATGCTCTGTTTAACAATAATCACTGTGGGGGTTATTACAAATAATATTATTTTGTCTACTTTCTTATAAATACAATTTGGTTGCAGTACATGGCCATGTATAATATTTGAGAAACTTGGTTCAAATTTATAACATTGCATATTATTCAGATGATGTAATTAAACACCAGTAAATAAACTAGTGGTTTCAAATGAAAGTGGTATTTGAGTGGATGTTACAGTATCAGGGTTCATGCCATACTAGATCACTACATCAGGTCAAAGGGGAGAGGCATTTGCACAGCAAATTCAGTGTACTTTGTCCCATAACATCTGTAAACGTTTTCTTTCAATGTTATCATCTGAAAGTCATCTTCTGTGGCAATATGAATATTTAATATTATAAAGCAAAGTAATTTCATCAATTTGGATATACTGTGTTTACCTGAAAAGAAGATTTCATGCTTTCCCTATTTTTCAGAGTTCAGAAACAAAGGCCTATCTTGACTCTGTGTACAAAACACAAATATCGATAATTTTACACGCTGCAAGTTTATAACATGTTGATGCTATTCAGATGTTCTGTTGACATCTTAATTACATTACACTGCCAGAGCAGCAAGAAAGAAACAGAGGGAATTAAACATGTTTCAAAGGCAGGAGCCATGAGCTACACCAAATTTGGCCATGTACCACTGATAAGTGTGGAAGAGGCAAAACATTACAAGGTCAGAAACCATTAGCTTCCATAAAGCTGCCTAAGCAACACAAAAGTGGTAATTCGTGAATAACTGATATCAGAATGGGTGTGATGAAACTGCCAATGAAGACAGTAATAAAATCAGTTTATATGGGAAGGCATTGGTGGGGTTTGTCTTCTGTTTGGGTAAATACTGTAATGTTGATGCTACAAATTTATTTTTGTAATTACTTTCATCATTCAATTTCAGTTTGCAATTTAATTCTAAGAACTTGACATTTATCACAAAGTTAAGTACAGAGCTTTCGAGAATAATAAATTTTTTATTTAATTAATCAAACATCAAACTCTCCCTCTGAAAATTTTACTTACAAAGTTTATTTTACAATAAGAAGAGAGAGGCTAGTTTGATGTGAGGCATTAAGTATTTTAAGTGCTATGTATTTGTAAATTTCAAATCTACATATTTATAAACAGCGTAAGGGAACATCCAATCGGTAAGTTCCAAGGGCTGCAGATTGTTACACAAATCTGAACTGTGTAATTCCTATTGAATGCTGTGCAGAGTATTAAACATTTTTTTTTCTTCACAAGTGACAGAAATAAGTTAATTAGAAGCCATCTGAGATGCAGAGGAATATAAACAGGAACAGAAGAATGTCTATTACATCAAGGCCAGAAAATCATTAACCAGACTCAAAAGAAAAAAAGAAACTGATAATACAAAAAATTACTAATCCATATTGTGTAAAAGCTGTTGGTTTCATACCAAACACTACTCTGCACAGTATTTTTCTGGATAAATACTGAAATATATACATTACAAATTACCATTAATGATTACACTGGCTACAGGGGTAATTTTAATCAGAGAATAAAATCTTGAACATGGTTAACAATCTGGTTTTAATATTTTAACTGAAAAAAATGTTTTTCTAACATTTAATTCATTTAGGTTGATAACTGTATAAGATTCCCAACTCTTCATGTTTAACCAGTTTACTGCAACATATACTTAATAAAAGAATGTAGCACCCCCACCATGAAAGCACCGATACACAGCAACACCCAGTCAAAATCAATATCAGCCAGTACCCATTAAAAATACTGTAAACTGTGACTGTCAGACCAACAGGGAAGGGTAAAGCTCATAAAATAAATAAGTTTTAAAACTGCTCTACAATGCTACTGAGTGTCCTCTGCAGGTTCTCTACGTAGCACACTGTGTGTAAACAAGCCCTTTCCATCTGATTTCCTGGAGTTCCATGATGCCCCTGGCACGTAGAAACAATTTTCGCTTTTTCAGATTCTTCAGTGACAAGACTGACATAAACTAATATCAATCTATATACCCAGCAATATTGTCCTTGGGTCTTCCACTGCTGATTTGATTTTACGCAGGAAAAGAACAGCTTCACGGCCATCAACAAGACGATGATCGTATGTTAATGCTACATACATCATAGGCCTGATAACAACCTAAAAAAAAAAACACAAAAGTCTGTATAAAACTCACATCAAATCCAAATCACATTACAGAATATAACATGAATCTGTAACAATTTTACAGTTTGCATGAACAGCAGACACATGCAATGAGATGTTACTCCCCTCCAGTACCAGGCTACTGAGACCTGTTACAGATATTACAAAACAGAATCCTTACTTTGTGTTGGAGGTCTTCCCAAACGTTCTTTTCTTTCTGGCTGATGTATTAAAATCTTTTTTGGAATCCTGTCAGAGCACATCCTGTACACACACAAGGGACACAACAGGTTGGATGTATCTCCAACAACCTTACCCTCCTGTGGCACGTGCTCGTCTTACTGACAAAGCTCTGATGCCTGAGTTACAACATGATAACGCTTGCATCAGTGCTGGGGGGAAACACTGGAATACTCAAGTGTTCACAGTTTTAGAGACAGCAACTCTATCAATGGACTGCCACTCTTGGGATAGTAACCAATTGGTGGGAATTATATTTGCTTTTAAGGCATTAAGAAAACAATAATTACAGCTGGGTAGCTGTTCCATCTGTACTGGAAGAAATCCTGGAACACAAAGCATGTCCAGGAACAACTCAGCAACTGGACTACTGCTTCTTGGCAACCAAGAACAGAGGAGCACCAACTGTCTGAATTAATAAGTGACAAAGGCTGTTTGGATAAACGAAAATTTTGGTAATTGAATTAAATTCTTATCCACAAAAAACACTATCATAACAATATTATAATGTACTGTACTACTACAATAACAATAAATTAAAAAAATTTATAACAGGCAAAACATGAAAAATTAATAAATGAAATTATAAATTAACAGTTTCAAACACTATTTGAAAAAGTCCAATAATGATGTCTGCTTGGCAGACACGTCCTTGGTTGTGGTAATTCTGTTAGTTGGCAATTCAAATAATCAGAATTCAGATAACTGGCATTCTTCAGTATTTGATGGGATTTCAAGGTTACCCTTGGTAACAAATCTTAAATAACAAAGCCAAATTTAAACATTACTAAATTGGATTTTTTTCAGTTGACCTAATCCTTCCAGCCGCACTAGGCTCTGGGGTTTACTCAGCCTCTAACAGAAATGAGTACCAGGAATTAATTAAATAATTTTCCTGGGGAGTAAAGCGCGGCCGGCGCATAAGGCTGACAAATTTACTGCCATCTTTGAGCCGATTGTCTAGATAATGTGGGGCCCACGATGTCTCACAACCCTATGGGCCTTCACGGCCTGGTACAGGGATAGATTTACTTTTTTTAATTTTACTAAAAATCGCTGACATTAAAAAACTGATCTGAAAAGCAGCAAACATTCCTAAACAAAATCACTCTAAATGCATTAAATTTTAGTAACACTGTTCAAACCCTCACTCACAGGATCATTCAATGTCAAGGGACTATACACAATGTGAAGATACATAACTTACAGATATCACAGGGCACCACCAACACTGTGTCCTAACCACTGTAGGCTACAGGGAGATATTCCAGTTGTATATTCACCGAATTATGAACTGCAGTACCCACATTTGGTACAGAATTTCTCATAATACCTACTGGCTTCATGTTTCATCAATGTGCATACGTACCATGCCTTTACACATACAATGACACAGTATATGAAAATTTCATGAAAATCTGTCAGCAATCTTAATAGTGTGCAACTTGTTCTGTGTCATAAATAAGATATACAAAAGTATATAAGGTATGTCATCTACACAACAATATTCTGTATTTAAAAACATTAATAAAAGCAAATGTTGATTCAGTAGTGTCTTTTTTTTTTTAAATACAGAACACTGTTGTGTAGATGGCATACCTTGTATACTTTTGTATACCTTATCTGTCTAGCAGTTCTTTACATTTTTTTATGTGTACAGACAGACTGAGTGACCTTAATATGCATTCTGCAGGATAATGAACTCCTAAAAGTGCACAGATAAGCAGCAAACCAGATAATGTGTGCAGAGATACAAAGAAGTACACTGTAACAATGAAAGAATAGCAGTTACCTGTCCTTTTACAGCCACGGGTCTTTCAAAAATTGCATGCATGCCTAGAATAGCCGACTGAGGAGGATTGATGATGGGTGTTCCCATGAGGGAACCAAACACGCCGCCATTACTGATGGTGAAAGTTCCTCCGTCCATATCTTCAACAGCTAACGCACCTTTCCTTGCTTTCTCTCCCAGAGCATTAATTGCCAATTCAATTTCTGCATAATTCATTGATTCCACATTGCGAACTACTGGTACCACAAGACCCTGGAAAATCAAACATTTCCAATTTAATCTTTACGATGAGCTAGGTCTGCTTGTTGTCCACTTCTGCTGGGTTCTTCCTTTCCAACCCTGAATATGAAAGCGATGTCCTCTGAAATGTCAGGCTGTCTCTGAACTAGACAGCACTATGCGCCAAGTGACCATAGTCACTGCTGTAAGAAACTCAAATACACTGCCAGTATCAGTTAATGTACTAAATAAATAACCTATACACTCTGAAATGGTGGGCATGCAGTAACATATTTGGTTGAGGCACTATGCTACAAGCCAGAAGTTCGTGGGTTCGAGTCACGATGAGGCGTATTTTTTTTTTTTTTTCAATTTACCTAATCCTTCTCGCCACACTGTGGCCCTTGGGTTGACCCAGCCTATAACGGAAATGAGTATCAGGATTCTTCTTGGGGGTAAACGGTGGCCGACACATATGGCTGACAACCTTACCATCATCTGTGAGCTGACGGTATAGAGAAAATGTGGGAGCCTCAACTTCTCACAACCCTATGGGCCTCCACAGCCTGTACAGGGATAGCTTTACCTTACCTTCAAACACTCTGAAATGTTGTTATATAATAATTAATGTTGATACTTGTGTGAGGAATCAATTCATAACATACATTTGTCATTAAAAAAGTGAATTTAAACCAAACTAAAAAGAAAAGAAAATTAAAAATTCACCTTGGGAGTGGCAACAGCTACAGATATGTCCACATAATCTCGATATATTATTTCAGTGCCATCTATGACTGCATTCACAACTGGTTGGTCTTGTAGAGCATATGCGGCTGCTTTCACAAAAGCAGACATGAAGCCAAACTTGATGTTATATTTCTTCTGGAATGCTTCCTGATGAGCCTTCCGGAATTCCATGATGTTACTTCAAAAGACAAACATATACACTTATAAAAACAAGTATCTAACTGAGATATAAGTTATCCATGGCAGTGAAAGTGATGTCATACAATCTGGTGTAACAGGACCAATGATGTCCCCATCTTTAGCATCACTCTTCTACCCTGATGATGCAGGCCCCTGAAACACTGGTACTTATCTACCAAATTACATGAGATCACATCCCAGGAGACGGCAATCATGGTACTCATGACCATGAGAACCTCAAATCATATAATCACATACTTTAGGATCGATCCATAAAAGATTGCTGTACACATGGAAAATAATGTGATACATTGTTAGGCAATGGTTAGCTAAACACATTCCCAAGCATTACGTTGTCAATGAGAATAGACGTCCATTGCTGGACAATGGGTTTGGTTACCATGGAATTACAGACATAACTTGCACATCACAAGCATGAAGAGCAGTACTGGAACCCTTGAAGGCGGTGATCTCAACACAGTTCTCCTGAAGTTATGAACATAGTGAATTTAAAGGAAGGAAGGACCAGATCCAGTATTAGAGAGATGAGAGACCAGTCTGAGATTCAGACAACAGATTCATCAAACAGGAGTTCAATGTGTAAGCTGTTATAATCAACTGAAATTGTAATAGAGGCATGCAATAAATCCAATCATCAAATCTTGAACCCACAATAATTAATAACACAACCCTCATATACATGACAATGACAGGTATGACCACTTCCTGAACATATAGAGGACTTGAGGAGAATAATTTTTCTTCAACACTTTTAACTTTTATGCCGTTGAGCCCATAATACTCTTACTACAGATATTGCCCAACATGGCATCCTTGCTGCAGCCATATTCTTATGAGTGCAATATTTATAAACATATGCCATCCAAATGCATTCAAACTTGTCAGGCACACACTTCCATCTAATGCAAACATAATGAACTACAAGACAGACCTCTTGCTGTGTATGTATGACATCTGTAAGGAAATCCAGAAACTACTGCATCCAGCAGTGTCAACATCCTACTTCTACTTGGCCACCTGAGGGACGGTAAATATATTGTGACGTGAACGGCGCAATGGGAAGTAGGGGTCACGTGAACTCTGCGATCTCGTAAGTGACATCACATACCCCCGCCCCTTCCATTATTATGCAACACTCGGTAAACACTCCGTCACCTCCCTCAGTGATGTAACAAGGGGACACCGCTGTAAGACGAGGCAACAGGGAATGGTATAAAAAGCCGGATGAGCAGTATATGAGAGAGTGTGTGATCAGGAGTGACATAGTGCAGATCATGAAGTCGCTGAGTGTAGCAGAAGTCTAGCAGTCACCAAGAGCAGTGGATGTAATTGTGATCCTTCCGATGGCAGTAATTGTAATTGTGAATTGTGTGAGCATGAGAGCGAATGTGTAATAAATTCACTAGATCCAGAACAGGGTGAAGTTACTTGTAGCGTTATATACCCAACACATGAAAATATTGTGACATGTTGAGCTCTGAATAACGCCCCTCCCCCCCCC